TTCCGGTGATGTCAGGGTGTGTGGCCTTATGACACACTTCCGGTGATATCAGGGGGTGTGGCATATGCTAATGAGTTATGCTAATGAGTTCCCCTAGCTCTCTTTCTACGAAACGACCCCTGATAACACGTGGCTGTCATCAGACCGCTATTAAAACACCACAACCATGTGGCGACCCTCCAAAGGCCAACCTAAACAATTCAGCTTTCCATGCCCTGCAGGAACTAAACAAGTCCGGAGGACAGGGCTGTAATCTGAGAGTGCAGCAGGCCACAGGGTAGGGGCCACAGCTGAGAAGTCCCTTCCCCTGTTGACTGCCAAGTGAGCCATCCTGGGGCCAGGCACCAGCAAGAGGCCCCCAGGGAATGACCGAAGGGGGTTGTAACCCTGCTCCTGCTCAGAGCTCAGCTGGTCTCGTCCCAGACCGTTAAGGGCTTTAAAAGGGGTCCAAATGCTACCGGACTAACACAGCAACCCTTATGGAATTTGGTTCCATCTCAAATTATTCCTTCAATTTGAATCTTATAGAGAAATAATTTATAAGACAATTGACTAACTGGGTCTCAGTACACTGAAATAACTTGTAAATTTTTAAAAAAGTTCCAAAATGCAGTTTGGACACAAAAATAATGCCGAGCCAGAGTAGTTATTAGAGGTATACAAATTTCAGCAATACGGATTTCTTATTAGCTGTTGTAGATTTTCTGGGTTGTATGGCTGTGGTCTTGGCATTGCAGGTTCCTGACGTTTCGCCAGCAGCTGTGACTGGCATCCTCAGAGGTATAACACAGAAAGATGTAGTACTCTCTGTGTCAAGGTGAGAAGAAAAATGGTAGGCAGGTAATTTATATCTACTCAGGAAGGTGGGGGTAGGGCTGAGTCATTATCTTGTCAGAGTTCCCCAGGCTGTGACATGCTAATGGAGGAGCTTTCCTGAGGAGGTTCTTTTGTATATGGATTGGCTGTTTCCTGAGGAGGTTCTTTTGCATATTGTGTGTTTCCGGAGGAGGTTTCCTGTTTCTTTGATATATAGCAAATACACTTTTCCTGTGGTCAAAATTTCTTATTTTCGAAAACAAGGGACCAAAGCTCTCAGAATTACTAGTGTTAGATGGTTTCGAACCCTGCAGCATTTTGGTGTGCTCAAAGCTTGGTATGAATCTCATGATAGGAGAATCCCCCCCCCCCAATCCTTCCCTGGATGGTTGATACTTTTTCAGATTGCTTCAATCGCTTGTTCAGTGCGGGGGACACGCAAGCAAACCCGAGGCCAAGTAAAGTCAGGGGTTTGGTAACCCAGAAAGATAGCTTGAGTTGACCCCTCCCTCGATAACAAGCAGGTTTCTTTTCTTCCCCCCTTAACCCTTCTTTTGTTCAAGGGACCTTCAGAGGTTCGGAGAGCTCCAGTCTGAATTGGCGGGGATGGCGGACTTCTCCGCAGCCTACCTCCGATGTCAGCTGCTGCTTATTAAGGTGCGCCTTCCTCTCAGTGAGCCGTCGGCCCTGCTGGTGTGAACAATCTGATGGACAATCTGGCCCCGCTGGTGGACCTCCTGATGGCCCCTGGGTTTTGGCCACTGTGTGACAGAGTGTTGGACTGGATGGGCCACTGGCCTTATGTTCCTACGTCTTGGGCAGTGATGCTCTGTCTTCTTGGTGCTTGGGGGGCCACAGTGGGAGGGCTTCTGGAGTTCTGGCCCCACTGGTGGACCTCCTGATGGAACCTGGGTTTTGGCCACTGTGTGACACAGAGTGTTGGACTGGATGGGCCACTGGCCTTATGTTCCTACGTCTTGGGCAGTGATGCTCTGTATCCTTGGTGCTTGGGGGGCCACAGTGGCTTCTGGAGTTCTGGCCCCACTGGTGGACCTCCTGATGGAACCTGGGTTTTGGCCACTGTGTGACAGAGTGTTGGACTGAATGGGCCATTGGCCTGATCCAACATGCCTTCTCTCTCATGTCTGGGGCAGTAATGCTCTGTATTCTTGGTGCTTGGGGGGCAACAGGGGGAGGGATTCTGGATTTCTGGCTCTGCTGGTGGACCTCCTGGTAGTCCTTGGGTTTTGGTCATTGTGTGACACAGAGTGTTGGACTGGATGGGCCATTGGCCTGTTCCAACATGGCTTCTCTTATGTTCTTATGTCTTGGGGAGTGATGCTCTGTCTTCTTGGTGCTTGGGGGGCCATAGTGGGAGGGATTCAGTCTGAATTGGCGGGGATGGCGGACTTCTCCGCAGCCTACCTCCGATGTCAGCTACTGCTTATTAAGGTGCTCCTTCCTCTCAGTGAGCCATCGGCCCTGCTGGTGGACCTTCTGATGGCCCCTGGGTTTTGGCCACTGTGGGACACAGAGCGTTGGACTGGATGGGCCACTGCTCACTGAAGAAATGAGCAGTGGCTCACGAAAGTTCCTCCCCTGCTACAAATTTTGTTAGTCATTAAGGTGCTAGTGGGCTCTTGCTCTTTTCTACTGCAGAAAATGTATATACATGTGGACTAGGATATTTCAGGACCCTGGAGAACTCCTAGCGAGAATAGTTGCTCTTTGAAAAACTCCTCAGTTCAGCTCTCCTGGTACCGAAGCGGGGTCTGTTGGTTACCAAAGCCCTGCCTCTCCATGGAAGTGGGAAAGAATTTTAAAGGGGTGGCACTCTGGCTTGGAGCCATGACCTTAAACAGTGTCCTCTGCCTTCTGCAAAGGGTCTGTTTTGCCTCTCCCATAGTTCATAGCATGGTAAATTAGCTCTCATCAGACAGGTTAGTGTTAGAAAGTCCTAAAACGTCCTTGAGAGCATCCATTTCAAGCTCCGTTAAACTTGCCCAGGTACAGCTGTGGAAGGCAAAAGCCCATCTTTCCTCTACACCTGAGGGCCAAGTGAGCGATTCCTTTCTGTTTTACCTGAACGTGCCGCAAAGGTGTTGTGGTATCTCTTGCAGGCTCTCCAGGAGAAGCTGTGGAACGTGGCCGCCCCGCTGTACTTGAAGCAGAATGCTCTGGCATCCGCAGCGGCAAAACAGGTGAGACGATAATGGGAGGGAGAGAGAAGTGTGTGTTTTGGACAGGCCGGCCTCTGTCAGCCAGGCCGCCATTCCCTCAGAATGCGCTTTTGGCCTGCAGAAGACGGGAGAGCGGACGGGACGCCCCTCCCGACTTTTTAAGTCACGAAGCTCAATATTAACAAGGAGGGAAGAAGTAATTCCGGAACATCCCGTAAAGGAATTCCTGAGGGAAAAGGAGAGTCACAGGTCTTTCTGAGCCATCGTCTTGAACGTTTCCGTGTTTCCAGAGAATTCTCTCCCCACCCCACCCCCGCTTCTTTTTTGAACAATTCTATTTTTTTTTAGAATAAATTTTTATTAAGTTTTTAAGATACACAAGGGGAAGGAAGGGCAAAGGGGAAGGAGCAGTGGAAAGAAGAAAAGTAATGAGTTTCTGCATGTTAACTTTCCTCCGCGTGCCATTTCACGTTATGCACTGATAAGCCACGAGGCTTAAAAGTTAATAAAAGCTTCTCAGTTTTACAACGTTAGAAAGTCCGTATCTTTATATTTCTCTCCTATCCAATTATAAAACGGAGTCCAAAGTCCAACGAAGTCTTCTTCCGTTTGTCCTTTTTAACATCGAAGTCAATTTGTCCGTTTCCACGCTTTCCATAGTCTTTCTTTGAACAGTTCTTGTGCCTAATCTCTAAAAATGCTGCTTGAACGTGTTGGAATTTGTTCTTCATGTGCGTGTTCTAAAAGCAGCAAAACGCCAACAGATTTTCTTTGCCACCGCTGTGATTTCTAGGGCCTCGGTGTATTTGCTATGTATTTGTGTTCCTTCTCGGTTTAAAGGGGAGGTTGACGAACCTGGGTTGGATCCTGCAGATGCTTTCCATTAAAGGAGACGCTTTCCTCTGGTGGGGGGAAAAATCTTCCCCTGACTGACGAATCTTTTCCATCTTGGGAGGGCATCTGGTAGTGGAATGGAACGGAGTCGCACTATTATCTCTGGACCCGGATCCATCTATTTTAATTATCTGAATTTTTCTCCCAGTGGAGGAAAAAGCCTCTGGTCGTGGAACAGACAAGAGTCCTGCTGTATCTCCGTGGATCCGTCTATTTTAGTTTTCTGATATTTTTCAATTGATGAAAGAGCCTCTGTAGTGGAACGGACAAGAGTCTTGCTGTATCTCCAGATCGATCTATTTTAATTTTCTGATTTTCCCCCCCAAAAGCGTTACACAGGGATTGGTGGAGCATGATGGTTGCATTTTGAGTTTCTTAAGGGTGTTCTGTATTATACAGAGGTGTTTTATAGAGAGGTGTGTATTATAGAGAGCCAGTGTGGTATAGTGGTTAGGAGCACGGACTCTAATCTGGGGGAACCGGGTTTGATTCCCCACTCCTCTACATGCAGCTGCTGGTGTGACCTTGGGTCAGTCATAAGTTCTCTCAGCGCTGTTCTCTCAAGGGCAGTTCTCTCAAGAGCTCTCTCGGCCCCACCTACCTCACGGGGTGTCTGTTGTGAGGAGGGGAAGGAAAAGGAGATTGTAAACTGCTCTGAGACTCCTTTGGGTAGTGAAGGGCGGGGTATAAATCCAATCTCCTCCTCCTCTTTCTGTGTCAGACTAGTCACATAGAGTTTTTTTGTTTGCAATAAAGGTACGGATCTTTTTTTTAAAAAAAACCCTTGGATTTCAAAACGAGACTCTTAGGTAGCTCAAGGAGCCAGCCTTAAGAACGTGTCGCTTCTTGTTTAGATCATGGAAGAAACGTACAAGATGGAGTTCATGTACAGCGGCGTTGAACACAGGCAGGTGGTCATCATCCACCACATGAGGCTGCAGGCGAAAGCGTTGCAGCTCATCGTGACGGCACGGACCTCGAGAGGGTAAGAAGGGTGACGCGTGGACCATGCAAGGCAGAAAGACTTGGGGGAAAGAATATGGGATAACATAAGATCAGACCAGTGAGGGTCCGTCTAGTCCAGCCTCCTGTCTCGCACAGTGGCCAGCCAGTTCCTCTGGAGGGCCAACAGCAGGGCAGAGAGGCCGAGGCCTTCCCCTGATAGGAACCTAAGAAGAGCCCTGCTGGATCAGATCAGTGAGGGTCCATCTAGTCCAGCATCCTGTCTCGCACAGGGGCCAACCAGTTCCTCTGGAGGGCCAACAACAGGGCAGAGAGGCCGACGCCTTCCCCGTATAAGAACATAGGAAGAGCCTTGTGGGATTAGACCTGGGAGGGTCCATCTAGTCCAGCATCCCATCTCACACAGTGACCAACCAGTTACTCTGGACAGTCAACAACAGGGCATAGAGGCCGAGGCCTTCCCCTGATGTTGCCTCCTGGCTCTGGGATTCAGAGGTTTCGTGCCTCTTAACTTGGAGGTTCCCCTCAGCCACCATGGCTAGTAGCCATCAGTAGACTTCTTCTCCATGAATCTGTCTAATCCCCTTGGAAAGCTGTTTATTTCTGTGGCCATTACGACATCCCTTGGCCGCAAATTCCACATTTTAATTACTCTCTGCGTAAAGAAGTATTTCCTTTTGTCCATCCTGAGTCTACTGCCCATCAGCTCGTGGGAGTTTCCCCAAATTCTAGGAGCTTAGCTGCGTCAGGTCCAGAAAGTGTTTGGTTGCCCCGAGAAACCAATAGGACGGTGGCATCAGTAAAGCAGAGGTAGTGCCGCTTGTCAGCTTGAATTTTGACGCCTAATGCCTGCCTGCATCAGTGTAATGGAAGTAAACACTACACTGAAGAAAGCCTCGGTAAATATCGTAGTTCTTTTGCCTTGTGTTATCAGGGTAGAACCTCTCTTTGGAATGTGTGAGAAGTTTTTACAAGAAGTGGACGCTTTTCAAAGGTATGACTTTTTTCTTTTCCTTTGAGCTAGGTAGATGGGCAAACTAGGACCCTGGGGGATCCGGGCTCATACCCCCAGTTCTACATTGGCCAAAACCTGGGGCCATCAGGAGCACCAGCGGGGCCAAAACTCCAGAAGCTCTCCCACTGTCGCACCCAAGCACCAAGAAGACAGGGCATCACTGTCCCAGTTTGGTGTCTTGGTTAGGAGCGTGGACACTAATCTGGGAGAACCAGGTTTGATTCCCCACTCTTCCACATGCGGCCAGCTGGGTGACCTTGGGTCAGTCACAAGTTCTCTCAGAGCTGTTCTCTCACGAGCAGTCCTCAAAAGAGCTCTCTCAGCCCCACCTACCTCACAGGGTTGTCTGTTTTGGAGAGGGGAAGGGAAAGGAGATTGTAAGCCGCTCTGAGTGAAGAGCGGGGTATAAATCCAATCTCCTCCTCCTCCAGTGTTTGGATGGGAGACCACCAAGGAAGTCCAGGGTTGCTACGCAGAGGCAGGCAATGGCAAAGCCACCTCTCTCTGTCTTCTGCCTTGGCCTGGATGGCCCAGGCTAGCCCGATCTCATCAGATCCTGGAAGCTAAGCAAGGCGGGCCCTGGTTGGTGCTTGCATGGGAGACCACTAAGGAATACGAGGGTCGTGATGCAGAAGCAGGCAATGGCAATCCTCCTCCTCCTCCTCCTTCTACCATGGAAGCTCGTCAGGTGGCCTTGGGCCCATCATAAACTCTTGGCCTGGCCGACCTCACAGGGTCGTCGCTGTGAGAGAACAGAGGAAAGCAGACCCATGTCCTAAGCTGCTTTGCGTCCCCACGGAGGAGAAAAGCGGGATATAAATAAATGCGTCATCCAAGACGCATTGTCCAAACTTTAGTCGATTCGTTGAAAGGTCTGCAGAGGTGGACTCTGGTTTTCGTGGTTCCGCGTTTCACCCGGTTAATTCGGCGAAGGCAGGGAGCTCAAGACTTACAGGTTCGTGTGAGATCCCCCTTTTCTTCCCGTGGTCTCTCGCTACTCTGCAGGTGTTTCATCGCCGAGCTCCCCCATATGCAGGACAGCTTCGTGGACAGGCTCCTAGACCTGATGCCGCGGCTGGTGACCTCCAAGTCTTCCGAAGTCGTCAAGATCCTTCAGACGGTGCTGCGGCAGAGTAGCTTCCTTCGCCTCCCGCTCCCGGAGAAGGTGAGCCCCTCACCCGATGCCCCTTTATGCCGCTGGGCCCAGTTTTGTCCACTTGGTTTCGTAAAGGCTCTCTGAGATCTCCGACACGTGCTCTTTCCCAGGGTTCCTTTCACCCGGGACCCTCCACGTGCAAGTCATGTGTTCTACGGGTGGCCTAGGCCTGGATCTCGATGTGGGAGGAACCAGGATGTCGGACAAGGGAAAGGTATTTCCCTGTGCCTGTTCCCTGTGGCTGGAGATCGCGGGGATTGTACCTGGGAGTGTTAGCATGCAAGGAATGTACCGTCTCCTTCCATACATCCCTGTGTACCAGTTACATAAGAACAGCCATGTTGGATCAGGCCAGTGACCCATCCACTCCCAACACTCTGGGTCACACAGCGGTCAAAACCCAGGGGCCATCAGGAGGTCCACCAGCAGGACCAGAACTCCAGAAGCCCTCCCACTGTGCCCCCCCCCCCAAGCACCGAGTATACAGAGAATCACTTGCCCCAGACACAAGAACAGAAGCCATGTTGGATCTGGCCAGTGGCCCCTCCAGTCCAACTCTCTGGGTCACACAGTGGCCAAAACCCAGGTTGTCATCAGGAGGTCCACCAGTGGGCCCAGAACTCCAGAAGCCCTCCCACTCTTGCCTCCCCCAAGCACCAAGAATACAGAGCATCACTTGCCCCAGACTGAGAGTTCCTATCTATACCTTGTGGCTAATAGCCACTGATGGACCTCTGCTCCGTATGTTTATCTAATCCCCTCTTGAAGCTGTCTGTGCTTGTAGCTGCCACCACTTCCTGCGGCAGTGAATTCCATGTGTTCACTACTCTCTCGGTGAAGAAGGACTTCCTTTTATCTGTTCTAAGCCAACTACTCATCGCGGTTGTGAGCAGCGTTCCCTCGAAGCTGACTTAGTGTGAGCCAGCTCACAGTTTTTTAGCTTCCAGCTCACACATTTTTGACTTGGCTCAGGAAGGACGGCTCCAGAGCAGACTACTTTATGCAGCAGCCAAATTGCTCACTCATAGCTTCAGCGCCCGTAGCTCACAAAGTAGAGTTTTTGCTCACAAGATTCCACAGCTTAGAGGGAGCGTTGGTCGTGAGTCCTTCTCTGGGCTCTCCCACTACTTAGGGTGGCCTAGGACAGGGGTGGCCAAACTGAGGCTCGGGAGCCAGATGCGGCTCTTTCACACATATTGTGTGGCTCCCAGCAGGGCGGCTGGGGAAGCGAAGGGGAGGCATGCCTCCCTGATTGGTCTTCCCATCCCCAGACAGTGCTTCCCTTCCTGGGTATTCTGGGGAGGCTTTGGGTTGGGGGGGGGGGGAGAGAAAGAGAGCAACTTTAGCTTTGAATGCATTCTCAAAGGCCCCCCCACCAGCCTACAAATATAATTGTACAAATAATATCATTATCAATATCTATTTTTATCCCTTTTGTTTTTATTCTTGCCAGTCTCATTTAAAGTTAATAAAAAGCATATTTGCATACTTTTCAGTAAAAACATGCCTGTGATATTTGTTCACGTTATGCGGCTCTCAAACATCTGACGTTTATTCTGTGTGGCTCTTACGCTAAGCAAGTTTGGCCACCCCTGGTCTAGGAGTTCAGTTTCTGAGCACCTTGGCCAAGGAAGATCCGGGCCACTTTGGCTGTTCTTCTCTCAAATCTCCGTTTTGTGCCTTACATAAGAAGCTCCCTGCTGGATCAGACCAGTGAGGGTCCATCTAGTCCAGCCTCCTGTCTCACACAGGGGCCAACCAGTTCCTCTGGAGGGCCAACAACAGGGCATAGAGGCCGAGCCTTCCCCTGATAAGAACATCAGAAGAGCCCTGCTGGATCATACCAGTGAGGGTCCATCTAGTCCAGCCTCCTGTCTTACACAGGGGCCAGCCAGTTCCTCTGGAGGTCCAACAATGGAGGCCGAGGCCTTCCCCTGATAAGACGCTCAGAGGAGCCCTGCTGGATCAGCCCAGTAGTCCGTCTAGTCCAGCATCCTGTCTCACACAGTGGCCAGTCAGTTCTTCTGGAGGGCCAACAACAGGGCACGGAGGCTGAGGCCTTCCCTTGACGTTGCCTCCTGGTTCTATGATTCAGAGGTTGACTGCCTCTGAACATGGAGGTTCCCTTTAGTCGTCATGGCTAATAGCCACTTGGGCAGAAATTGTCGAAATGACGTCCAGTTTTCTTTGCTCGAAAGCTGTCTTGACAGTAGTGGAGGGAAATTTTCTGTTATCCCCAAAGAGATGTTTTGATTAGATGTTTTGTGTTTTGCTCCCATTAACCTTTATTACAGCGGGGGTAAATGTCATTCCCCCCCCTTTTTTTTTTTGCTTGGAAAGGAATTTGTAGTTGGTTAAATTCTCTCAATCCGAACATACAGTTTGGCGTGAAATTTTGTCGTGGCCCCATAAGAGACCCTGATGGGCTAGTGAAATGCAGAGGTCTACTTTGCAGAAGTCAATTGAGAGAAAATCCTTTCATCAGTATTATGCTTCTAATATGTCACGATTGCGAATTGTATTATTTTGTGTATTCTGCTTCTGGTGGGAAAAAAAGCCCATGAAAAACCCCTGCCGATAAAAATGTAGTGCCTTGAGGCAGTGTTCCCTCTAAGCTGAGTTAGTGTGAGCAAGCTCACAGTTTTTTAGCCTCTGGCTCACACATTTTTGTCTTAGCTCAGGAAGGAGGGCTCCAGAGCAAACTAATTGATGCAGCAGCCAAATCGCTCGCTCACAGCTTTAATACCAGTAGTTCACCAAGTAGAATTTTTGCTCACGAGACTCCACAGCTTAGAGGGAACATTGCCTTAGGGTGAAAAGTTTAAATTGAACCCTTCACATACTGCTTTCCCTCCTGTGCTAATTTTCCAGTTACAGGGGATTAATCATGTAAGGTGGGGCTCCCCAGCCGTTTTGATCCAGGGGGCCTGTAATGATTCCTTGTTTTATGAGAGTGTGTGCCTTTCAATGCTTGGTTGGCATGCATGGTTGGTAGACTAGAGTGATTGAGAGAGACAAATGTGCTGTGATTGGTGGATGACAGAGAGTGGGAGGGTTTTCTGAAGTGAATCTGTGTGGGTGTGTCAGTTATGAGAGAGAGTTAGAAATCAGTTGGGATTGTTCAGTTAGAGAGTTAGGTCAGTGAGTGTTCAGTTAGTTCTGACTCAGTTCTTAAAGAGTCCTTAGCCTGTGTGGCTGACTATAGGAAATAGTGACTCCTGTTAATGTTGGAACTGGGTGTCAAAACAAACAAAAAGTAAAGGAAAAAAGACTGTGTGTGGGATACATTTGATCGACATATTTTCAAGTCCCTTTATCCAAGATAGTTACAGAATAACCAACCTCATATTTTGTTCTTACTTCAATAAATCATCTTTTGTTCAAGTTTATCCCCGGTTTTCCTCAGGACCACATAGATCCCTGAAAAGCCCCGATTCTAGGTCACCTTACCAGCAAAAGATACAGAGAGAAGGTTTGGAAATCCTTAAATTCCTGGTTGCAGCAGAATCTACCCCGTTTACAAAAGCAAAGAGCACATTTAAAGGGAAAACCAGTCCTCCCTAATAAGAAGACACCACAGGGCCCATTTGGAATTTTGAGCGGGGGTGGTGAGTACCGCCCCCCAAATGCCTGCCACAGGAGGTGGAGCCAGACCCAAAATGGCTGCCACCGGAGGCGGAGCTGAATGAAATACCTCCCTCCTCACAGCTCCTGGGGAGACGAGTAGTCTGAAGGGGAAATGGAACCACCCACTAAGTAAACCAAGATGCTTACTTTTCCTCCAGTGGAAAACCCTTTCGTTTGAGAAAGCGCAGCCGATAATAAAGCCTGCCTTACAGTGGTCACGCCCACTTTCCGAAAAGCTGGGGCACCAATGAAAGCACCGGCGGGCACTATGGTGCCCATGGATACCACATTTGGGAGCCCTAACGTAGGGGAACTGAAAACTTTCACCCCTCCCAAGAACTCCAAAGTGGTCAATAGACAGGAAACTGAACCTCCTTGGCCTCCCGATATCAACACTCAAGATTATATCTCAGCAAGAAACATGGAGACAGTTCAGATCGAAAGCAAGTAATTGGGATAGGGCGAGTACCGCTGCACGTGCCGGGCGTGTATGTTCTCCTCTACCTCTGAGAATTCCTCCTTCATTGACCCTTCCATCATACCTAAGCCATCTTACCACCTCCTCTCATAGATTTGCTTTTACTCTTGCAAGGTTCAATGCTGTACCATCTGCAGAATTAACGGGACGTGTCTCACGAACTCCGTATTCAGACAGGCTTTGTACCTGCGCCTCCAGCGAGATTGAGACGCCGACACATCTCCTTTTGTTTTGTTCTCATTGCTTAACTCTTAGGTCATATTGGGTATATCCAATTTTATCTCAATGCCATCTTCCACTGGAGCCATGGGTGGTCCCTTATCTGCTGACAGATACTGAATCACCACTTCAGTAGCAAAATACTTAGCTGTTATAATAGCATTGAAGCGTAAATAATTGCTGCTAAGAGGAGGTGTGCACTTTTTGGTTCTAATTGTTTTTTCAGTGTTTTCAATTTTATGACTGAAATGTCTTATCGTTTTATATTTTAAACCTTTATACAGTTTATATTTTAACTGGATTTGAAATGTGAAGAGTTTTAAACTCTTCTATTGATATTTTACATGTTTGTTGTATTCCGTGGTTGGGACCATTGGTCATGTGAGCTAAATAAATTGATCAGAGTGGTCCGGTCCAGTCAGCACCAGTGTTCCCGCTAAGCTGAGTTAGTGTGAGCTAGCTCACAGTTTTTTAGCCTCCAGCTCACACATTTTTGTCTTAGCTCAGGAAGGATGGCTCCAGAGCCAACTAATTGATGCAGAAGCCAAATTGTTCGCTCACAACTTTAATGCCAGTCACTCATAAAGCATAATTTTTGCTCATGAGACTCCACATCTTAGAGGGAACGTTGGTCAGCACTCCAGTAAATCACATCCGTCTGCTTTGTGTATAGACCAGGTCCGAGGAGCCCTTCATTCTATAACAGATTATCATGAGTAACCCTGTGGCTTTTGTGTGATAACGGTACTTCTAGCTCCCGGAAGGTCAGCAAGCCCTTCTGATTCTGGGTTCCGGCTTCCTGCAGTGATTCCCGCTCGGTCGACTTTGCGAATGTTTCGGTGCCTGAACTGCAGACAGTCCGCCACCCTTTAACAAAACAACTGTGTGTAAAAAATTTGTTTTACCTAAACAAAGATAATTTAACTACTCAAACTATTCAATGAAAATTAATTTTATACCATATGCACAATTTATAAATACAAGTCCCAAAGCTATTCATATACCAACGTTATCAAAATTCAGATTCTCAAATCATGGGGCAAAACTCCAAACGTTCCCACAGTCCACCACAGGCTCATAAAACACTCTGTTGAAAGTGCTTGGGTGTCTTCAGTTTTCAGAAACAGAAGCCACGTTCCAAGGTGAAACTAGACAACTGTGGGAACGTTTGGGTTTTTTGCCCTATGATTTGAAAATTTGTATTTTGATATTGTTGGTATATGAATAGCTTTGGGATTTGTATTGATAAATTGTGTATATGATGTAAAATTAATTTTCATCGAACAGTTTGAGTAGTTTATCTTTGTTTAGGTAAAACAATTTTTTTTTACACACAGTTGTTTTTCTGGTTACATTTTCACCGTGTGTCTCACTGTATTTTGTATTAACCATTTAACCAAAAAAAAAAGAATTTTGAGAAGTCCCTCAGCTTTGCCTCGGGGTGACGGCCATCGCTTCCTTCTTTCCACAGATCCACAGAGCGACCTCCACCATCATCGAACCAGCAGGAGAGTCGGACAACCCACTGCGGTTCACGTCAGGGCTGGTTGTCGCCTTGGACGTCGACGCAACTCTGGAACACGTGCAGGATCCTCAGAACACGGTTAAAGTTCAGGTAATGTCGTGAAGAACCGAAGGATGAGCTCAACCAAGAGATGTAAGGTCCACCTTCCCAGAATTCTGTTTGCAGCAGACAGGTGTTTCTGGGCAAGTGGAGCATGAAAATGGTGAACTCATGAAAGATGTACCTTTGCCCTGTTTCTCCCCCACGCCACCCCACCCCAACAACTGGATTAAAGGGCATGCTGCCTTTGAACATGGAGGTTCCATTTGGGCTGCTGTGGCTGAATAGACGCATCAGTGGCTTTCTTTTGAGAGCCAGTTTGGTGTAATGGTTAGGAGTGAGGAGTCTAATCTAGGAGAACCGGGTTTGGCTCTTCCACATGCAGCTGCTGGTGTGACTTTGGGTCAGTCACAAGTTCTCTCAGAGCTGTTCTCTCAGGAGCAGTTCTTGAAAGAGCTCTCTCAGCCCCACCTACCTCACAGGGTGTCTTTCGTGGAGAGCAAAGGAAGGAGTTTGTAAGCCGCTCTGAGACACCTTCGGGTAGTGAAGAGCGGGGTATCAATCCAATCTCTTCTGCTTCTTTTTTCATGATATAGGCCCTTAAGCTAGCAATCATGAGTCCATACAATTAGGGCGCACCAAGTCAGAGGGGTTCCTCTCGACTGATCCATGTGGGTCACCAAAGCTGAGGTGTTTTAAAGCCGCTGTTTTTCTCTCTGGTCCACCATTATTTAAAAATGGCTTGTGTTTTAAAATTGTGGGTTTTAATTGTAAGCCGGCTCGAGGAGGACTCGGAAGCGGTGGCACAGAAATATTTTAAATAAATAGTTTTGGAACACTAAGAAGAAGAAGAGATTGGATTTATACCCCGCCCTTCACTACCCAAAGGAGTCTCAGAGCGGCTTACAAACTCCTTTCCCTTCCCCTCCCCACAACAGACACCCTGTGAGGTAAAAGAAGAAGAAGAAGAGATTGGATTTATACCCTGCCCTTCACTACCCAAAGGAGTCTCAGAGCGGCTTACAAACTCCTTTCCCTCCCCCTTCCCACAACAGACACCCTGTGAGGTAAAAGAAGAAGAAGAAGAGATTGGATTTATACCCCGCCCTTCACTACCCAAAGGTGTCTCAGAGCAGCTGACAAGCTCCTTTCCCTTCCCCTCCCCACAACAGACACCCTGGGAGGCAGGCGGGGCTGAGAGAGCTCTAAGAGAAACTGCTCTTTTTCAAGGACATCTCTTATCGGAACTATGGCTTGCCCAAGGTCATCCAGCCAGGTGCAAGTGGAGGAGTGGGGAATCAAACCCAGTTCTCCCAGATTAGAGTCTGTGCATTTAACCACTACACCAAACTAAGCCAAGCCTAACTGAATAAAGGTGGCAGGATCTACAGCTGGAGGGGGGGGGGAACCCTTGTTTGAAGTGTAGTCTTCTGTACCTCTTCTGCCCTTTTCTAGGTATTATATCCAGATGGGCAGGCCCAAGTGATCCACCCTAAACCGGCTGACTTTCGAAATCCTGGACCTGGGAGGCACAGATTAATTACTCAGGTGTACCTCTCGCACACTGCCTGGACAGGTAAAGGAGACCTTTTCTTCCCTCATTCAATATGTCTTTTGTTCTGCATCGGGAAGCTGACATAGTGTAGGTTTCACTTGAGTAATAACCCAGAGCCTCAGGGATTCTGTGGCGGTCCTCTTGTTTTTCCAGCTGCCGAGAAAAGCACCAGATGACGTAGCAAATGGTGGGCAAAAGCCCAAAAAGATCTATTTCACAACTGTCAATCTTCTAGAGGATACCATGGACTAAAGGGTGGAGAAAGATCGTTAAAGGTTTCATGTTACGAGCTGTTTCTCGGGGGCACAATAATTAAATTACAACCACAGTTGTAAAAACAGAAAACGCCCTGAAATGCAGAACCAGAACGTTGTACACGCCATGCTTGTTATGACGGACCCCTGTATCTCCCCAACTGTCTGGCAGATTTTTCCCGCCAAAACTTCACTTCCCCTCAGTGACTGAGTCACCCTACAGTAGTGTGTATATCTTCTGATATTAACTTGCAGGGGTCTTTTTGTAGAAAAAGCCCAGCAGGAACTCATTAGCATAATAGGCCACACCCAACAGCAGGAACTCATTAGCATATTGAGCCACACCCCTGACAGCACAGATTATTAGCACATTAAGCCGCACCCCCATGTTACCCGAAGTGTGGTTATCCAGCCACACCCACCTTTTGCTTGTTATTCTGTTTACCTTGTTTGTTGTCAAAACCCAGGGCTTTTTTTGTAGCAGGAACTCCTTTGCATGTTAGGCCACACACCCCTAATGTAGCCAATCCTAATGAGTTTCTGCTGTTGGGTGTGGCCTATTATGCTAATGAGTTCCTGCTGGGCGTGACCAAGTTGGGAGCCAGCCGGAACTCTGTTCCTGTGCATTCCTTGCCCAAGAATAGCCCTGTTAACTTGAAACTGTCCCACCCTTTGTTTAGATACTGGTTTAGGCTTTAGACACAGTACAGGAACTTGAGGGAAAGACAGGAGCTGTCCTGTTTTATTTGTTAAATAGGCAGGGAATATATGTATAATAGGGGTCGTCAAGGTTTTGAGATTGCTGAGGTAAAAATGTTCCAATATATACCGAGTTGAATTCTTAGAACATTCAAGATAGTGTATTTGTAGTTTTGTTTCAAGGTTTTCTAGTTCTTTCTTTGAGAGGTACTTTGTTTAGTATATTTCAGCACTTAAGTTCTTATTGTTTCTTCTGGAGGACAGCATCTGCTTAAAGTTTCTAGATTTCTTCCTTCAGAGTTCTAGGTTTCTCTTTATGTATTACAGTTTTCTACTAACTCCTGAGGTGTCTAAGCTTCTTTATCACAGACCAGGGTGCTCTTCCCAACCCCTTTCACTGGCTGGAAGTTATTCTCTTTGTCCCTGTGAAGCAATAACTCCATTTACTATTTGGCTTGTGTGGGAGTTCTCTCTAACTACCCAGACCTTCTGCCAAATCCTTCTCCAGTATCCTTTGTCTGTAAAAGGCTGTTCTGCAGCTTTTCTGACTGAGCATCTAAATTCTCCCTCTTAGCAGTTTTAATACATTTAAGACAAGGGGTCCCTCTTCTTCTCTCTGTAGAAGTACGTTTCTGACAATTCCCTGTCAGAAAACACTGACTCCCAAATGTCTCTTCCCTCAGAAGCCAAACCCTCTGGCTACTGATCCAGACCTTAGATTTCGGACCAAAAGGTGAAAGACCAAACGGTGAAAGACCTCTTTCCCCTCCAGATCAGCTGTTTTATTTCCTCTCTCAGCTGATGTTGGCCAATCAGGGAGCAATTAGAGCAGCCAATCACATAAGCTTTTCTCTTCAGGGAAGATTAACTCTTGAACTCCCTGACTCTCTGACTCAAGCAGCATTTTAAAAAGCCTGCTTTTCTTAGCAATCGGTCACATGTCCCATCTTTTGAGAACACTGCGCAAGTGGAGGTTTCTACAAACCTCACCTGAGCAATGGGGATTCATGTGGAGTGCACGTTACCTTTTAAGGTTATTCAAAACACCAATATTTAACATACCGCAATTTCAGCATTCCAGTTACACTTACAATAATGACATACACTTTCAGATATAAACCATGTGTGAATACATTTTCCATGTTTATGCGGACCTGTAGAGTGCATCTGACTTGAGCAAAGTTGTTGTGACCCTAACCATTTCCTTTTGCTTTGTCTCATTTTTTCCCCCCTTTCTCCCCACCCAGAGCCATGTCATATCGAAGTGCGGCTGCTCCTGGCGTACAGTTCCGACAGAAACAAAAGCCCTGCGAGGCACTTGCGGGCCAGCTGGGGGGACGGCACGGAACTCCTCCCGCTGTCCGAGAACGGCATCGAAGGGACCATCCCATTCAGCAAGCCTGTCAAAGTGTACATCATGCCAAAGCCAGCCAGACGGTGAAAGCGCTTCTGGGAAGCTTTTTTTAAAAAAATAAATAAATATGAATTCGGTTTACCAGGAGCGTGTGAAAGTATTTAAACTTGGAGGTTGTGTGCCCAGAGCAGATAAGTCAGGCTCCAGTGTAGCCAGAAATGTTTCCCCCACTTTTGAAAATGGGAGTATTTTTCTCTAGGGCAGTTTAGACATTATTGGTTAATACACACGAAGCTAGGTAGGACCAAAAGAAGGGGGAGGGGGAACAACCCTATGGAGGAAAGGTAACCAAAAAGGTTGAGGCAAAAACTATAATCAAATATGGCTACACACGCAGTGCTAATATAAAAATAAACAATATATTTGAATTATGCATAGAAAATACTAAAATCACAGTTAAAAAAATTAAAAAAATATATTTTTATGAAATTTTCATTGAACAACAACATTTTCCAACTTATAACAGAGCAGCATAAATAATACATCTGAGAAGGAATACAATACATGAATTGAGAGTAAATTCCCAGGTCTTAACAACTCAAAATATACAAGGTGTTACAAGACAGCTATAATATATATTGAAGACAAAGTATAAATATCCAGTTTGATCAAAATTCAGTATGAATTAATAACTATAATATAATATAAATAATTACACACATATAATAACCCCCCTCGTATATCTATGGTTCTGTATATAAGTACCTATACCTAATATCAGGGCAAATGTCAGAATATATAAATACAGGTTAAAAGGTACAAAATGTATCCAAGTACAAGAACCAAACGCGTTTCGGCTAAAAAGCCTTCCTCAGTGGCGAATTAAAAGCTGAGTACTCCATAAGTTAGACAACAATATATGGCGGCAAAGACACCGTGGGCTCCCCTTCCCCCTGCACATAAATCTCCAAGGCTCCCAAAGCACTCAATTCTGCCACAGGTGGCCATACCATAGTGTGGGCCACAGTCCCTGTCCTGTGACCAATGCAACTTTCTGAACCGTTTCGTTACAGAACAGTCATAGAACCATGGAATCATAGAGTTGGAAGGGAACTCCAGGGCCATCTAGTCCAACCCGCCTGCACAATGCAGGAAATTCACAAACACCTCCCCGCCACACACCCCCAATGACCGCTGTTCCACGCCCAGAAGATGGCAAAAAACCCGAAAACCCTCCAGGATCTCCAGCCAAACTGGCCAGGAAAAAAATTGCTTCCTCCTGACCCCAGTCCTATTTACCTCTACAAAAAAGCCCTCTTGAATAATTCCATTTTGCATAGTTTGTGGAAAACCAGGAGGGGGAGTCCCTCCCCAGCCTCAAAGGGCAGCCTACTGGGCTGTGTGTGTGTATGTGTTTTTGGTGAGTATTCCTGTGCAGGGGTCTCCGGCAGTAAGGAGCCCAGGGGGCGGGCACATGCAACAAGCCCCGCCCCTGCTCCCAGCAGCCCTCAGTCGGGCCACGAGGACCAAGAAGCAGCCAGGTAAGTTGCAGAGCCCCCACACCTTCAGGTGCAAGCTCTCCCTCCTCTGTGAGGACAGATCTGCAGTTCTCCCCCCCCAATACCTAGCAATCCAAAACAGTCCAGTGGAGCCTGAGCGGTGGGTGTTGCCTTCTGACACACTTCTGGTGATGTCAGGGGGTGTGGCATATGCAAACAAGTTATGCAAAAAAGTTATGCTAATGAGCTCCTGCACTTCTTTTTCTACAAAATGAGCCCTGCGACATGAACATGATTGGTGTTGTGAACGTTGGAAAAACTGCAAAACCTTTTTAGTAGGCTGAACATTCAAAGTTATTATAGAGAAATGAATGGCTACACAGATACTGAAGGAATGATATTCCTAAAGGACAAATATGAAGTGATACACCTGAGAAAGAAAAGCTGAAGGGACAAAATGGGGGCTGAGTGGCTAGACAGCAGGCTTGCCAAGAAGGATTTAAGGCTTAAAATGGAAAACAAATTCATACCCCGCCCTTCACTACCCAAAGGAGTCTCAGAGCGGCTTACAAACTCCTTTCCCTTCCCCTCCCCACAACAGACACCCTGTGAGGTAAAAGAGGAGGAGGAGATTGGATTTATACCCCGCCCTTCACCACCCAAAGGAGTCTCAGAGCGGCTTACAAACTCCTTTCCCTTCCCCTCCCCACCAACGGACACCCTGTGAGCAATGCTCCCTCTAAGCTGTGGAGTCTTGTGAGCAAAAATTCTACTTTGTGAGCTCCTGGCATTAAAGTTGTGAGCGAGCGATTTGGCTACTGCATAAATTAGCTTGCTCTGGAGCCATCCCTTCCTGAGCTGAGACAAAAATGTGTGGGCCAGAGGCTAAAAATAGTGTGAGCTAGCTCACACTAACTCAGCTTAGAGGGAACACTGCCTGTGAGGTAGGTGGGTCTGAGAGAGCTCTTTCCAGAACTGTCCTTGAGAGAACAGCTCTGATAGAATTGTGGCTTGCCTGAGGTCATCCAGCAGCTGCATGTGGAGGAGTAGGGGAATCAAACCCGGTTCTCCCAGATTAGGGTCTGCACACTTAACCACTACATTGGTAGTGGTTAACCACTGCCTGGTCCTTTTAACTGGGGATGCCGGGGATTGAACCTGCGACCTCCTGCATGTCTGGAGATTTCCTGTAATCCCAGGAGCTCTCCGGCCTCTAGCTGGAGACTGGTCACCCTACTTGGGGAGTCTGCCTTAAAACTGCAACTTCTCCCTGTGTGTTTTTGTTTGTTAAGCATGGAGGGGAAAGGGGAACACTCCGGCCTTGCAAACAAGCCTCCCGCCTCTCCTTTCAGCCGGCCTCCCCTACCGCACCGAGATAAGCAAAGATCCGCCTTCGTCTGGCAGGAGCTGGGAGGGTCAGGCGTTCCTGGCGCCGAGCCCAGAAATGGTTCTGTGTTCTCAACGAGACTGCCGGGGTGGCTGTCTGCCGATGTACGGGGGGGGGGGGGAGCGAAGCTTTCCCTTGTTGCTGGGCGTGCTGGACGAAAGGAGCGACAGAAGCGGAGGACGCTTGTTTTGTGATCTTCCCCTGGGCTCGTCTTGCCACCTCTGGAGCCTCATGTATGACTTATCACACAGGGCTCCAGATATTTCTCAAATACACACCAGCATTCAATACACGAAATACATGAACTGCAATACATAGGCTGGAGAGATTTAAAGCAACAGAGCCGTCTTTACATTCGTTTAGATGTGTAACGTATCAGGACCCGACCGCATGGTCAGCTTGGGCACCACGCGGTCAAGCACAAACGTCGAGCTTCGCTCCGACAGACAATGGACGATACGGATCCAAGCCTGCACCCAGGGGTCATTTCCTGCAGGAGCGCACAGGAGCGGAGCTCTGGCAGTAAAGCGCACATGGACTAAATGACTTGCAAGGTCCTTTCCAACTCTAACATTCTATGATTCTATTAACAAGCCCCACCCCCTGCTCCCAGCAGCCCTCAGTCAGAGCAAGAAGCAGCCAGGTAAGTTGCAGGGCCCCCCTGGTCCAAAACAGTCCAGTGGCACCTTTAAGACCAAGTTTTATTCAGGTACAAGCTCTCCCTCCTCTGCGAGGACAGATCTGCACGTCCCCCCCCTCCCCCAATAGCTAGCAGTCCAAAACAGTCCAGTGGAGCCTGAGCGGTGGGTGTTGCCTTCTGACACACTTCCGATGATGCTAGGGGGTGTGGCATATGCAAATAAGTCATGCTAATGAGTTATGCCAATGAGCTCCTGCACCTCTTTTTCTACGAAATGACCCCTGCCCGCACCAATCAGAGAGCTAGGCTCCGGGCTGAGAGCCTGTGGGACTCTCAGCCACTAGTTTAGACCTATTGGGAAGTGGGGTGTGTGTGTTTTGGGTGGTGGATTCATGGGGGATATAAGCCGGCCTGTGAGCCGGCTAAAGTTGTCTTGTTCTACACCAAATAAAGTACGCTAAGCTGAAATCACTCGTCTGTCTGCGCACTTTTCAAGATGGAAGAACACCTATAGAATCAGGTTACACGTCTTCATCACGAACAAAGGGAAAAAAGGCATTTTTGAGACATTGCTGTACAATAAGACAGTTTGGAGGCGTTACTGCCTGAGAAGTTCCTGCGACTGGGTGGTGGATTCACGGGGGATATAAACCGGCCTGCGAGCCGGCTAAAGTTGTCTTGTTCTACACCAAATAAAGTACGCTAAGCTGAAATCACTCGTCTGTCTGCGTACTTTTCAAGATGGAAGAACACCTATAGAATCAGGTTACACAAACAAAGGGGGAAAAGGCATTTTTGAGACATTGCTGTACAATAAGACAGTTTGGAGGCATTACTGGCTGAGAAGTTCCTGTGACTGCCTCTTTGGCAGTCCCCGTTTGCAGTCCTGATGAAATCATCGAAAACTCCTTGAATAATCTGGAAGATGAGTTGACGGCAGCCCATTTCTTGTTGTATGTCTCAAGTCTTAAGGACTGGATCTACTTGCTGACTGCAACATACTTTATACTGTTTGTCTTTATGGACTTGCTTCATAGAAGAAGAAGAAGAAGAAGAGGGGGAGGAGGAGGAGATTGGATTTATACCTCGCCCTTCACTACCGAAAGGTGTCTCAGAGCAGCTTACAAACTCCTTTCCCTTCCCCTCCCCACAACAGACACCCTGTGAGGTGGGTGGGGCTGAGAGAGCTCTTTCGAGGACTGTTCGTGAGAGAACAGCTCCGGGAGAACTTGTGACTGACCCAAGGCCACACCAGCTGCTGCATGTGGAGGTGTGGGGAATCAAACCCAGTTCTCCCAGATTAGAGTCCGCGTTCCTAACCACTACACCAAACTGGCTCACAGGGTTAAGAAAAAGGATGATCAATGGCTTACCTTTTGCTACTTCTATTGGTTAATCCTACCTACTACGATTTGACCCCCTATTTTTTGCAATTATAAATTGTTTTTCTTACAACTGTGAAACGACGCATTTTGCATTTTGTGCTTCAAACGGAAAAGAATCCGAGAAACTGTTGCGCTACCCCCAGTGGGGGTCTCTTTAATTCAGCCAAAGGCACAAGACGGTGGGAAGTGGGGCGGTCCCTCTCGCTCTAACAGGTGGAATGGAAGACGCCGCCCACTTTAACCCCTTGCAGGGCCAGAGCGTTGTACTCCTTCACGGCCGCCTCCGTCTGCAGGACTCGTACGTCGATCCCGTGTTTCTTGAGATAGTCCACGGTGGAGGATGGCACCTTGAAAGGGAGGGGAGAGGGACACAGATTTAGTTACTGAAGTAGAAAAACATCTTGGGGTGAAGCCCTCTATGGGGTGGGGTTGCCAAGATCCAGCCCAGCCCTGGAGTTCTCCTGGAATTACAACTGATCTCCAGACTACACAGGTACTATACAGGTCAGTTCCCCTGCAGAAAATGGTAGCTTCACAGGGCAAAGGCTATGGTACACCATCAGGCCCACAGATAAGGTGGGATTTGGGGGGGGCCTGCCCCCTTTCTTAAGGGCACAGCCCCACAAGAATTTCTCCTGTAAATGCTTTTCCCCAGTCATTTTAAAACATTTTTAAAGGCGTGCACTCCTTTAAGCAGAGTGGTGTGCTGTAGTTGACTAATTCCCGCACTGAGCAAGGGGGTTGGAGTAGGTGACCTCTAGGATCCCTTCTAACTCAGTGTCAAGAATCTGGTCTCCTTGACCAGATTCTGCCCAAAGACAAAAGATATATGAACAAATGTTTGATAATCGTAATAATTACATCTGCCAGAATTCTTTTTGCAAAAAAGTGGAAATTTGAAAAAATACCCGGCGAAGGAGAAATAACTAATAAAAATTTGAACTTAGCAGAAATGGATAAATTAAACATGTCATTGCGAGATAAAGATGATAAAGTTTATTTGAAGAAATGGTCGAGAGTATACGAATGGATAGAAAAAAGAGAACTTAATAGACTCGAACTGTATTTGGAATGCGGATTTGTTTGTATTGTATAAACAAGAAAATCTAATAAATAAAAATTAAGAAAACGAAGAGAGTTTCTCTGCCCAAGTGTTAGCTTTCTTGACTATAGAAGTCATCACCCCACCGACCTGCCGGCTTGTTCTCAGAATTGTCGCTTAGGCTGGCAGAAGTGATTAACTTGCAGCAGCTGAGAACTGTCATCTCAAGCGGTCGACAGCTTGCAATTTAGAGATCTAGCCTGGGAATAGCTTTCTATTGGCTAAATGGCTAATAGGCTAAGGGTGATTGCGAGCATAAGAACATTTATGTAGAACAGGCATCTTGAGAAGACTCAGAGAGAGAAGAGTAGCTGAGTCAGAATCCTCAGAATTCTGGCTTTTCTTTCTGCACTGAGAACTTCAGCCCCGCCAGAAGAAAAAAAAAATCTCCCCCACAAGCCACAAAATCCTGGCTGCAGGCCTGTACACCATAGATCCTAGGCGAAACCCCTCTCCAAATTGTCCCCTCCGCACTGCCCCCTGCCAAATCCCCAGGAATTTCTCAGCCTGGAGCTGTCAATCCTGCTATGGGGCATGGAGAAATTATGGCAGGACAAACTGAAATGAAACCAAGGTCTTGGACACCTAGCAGGGTTTGCATGGAGGAAGAGTGGGGAATTGAACCCAGTTCTTCAGATTAGAGTCCCCCTGCTCTTAACCACTACAAAATGCTACACTCCGTACAAGCCTGGGTCCAGAATTGCCAACTCCATGTTGAGAAATTCCTCGAGATTTGGGGGTAGAACCTAGAGAGGGACAGGGTTTGAGCAGGTGAGGAACCTCAGCCCTCCCTCCAAACAATGCTCCCTCCACGCCATGGAGTCTTGTGATCCAACATAGCTTCTCTTATGTTCTTATGGCTGGGGCATTGATGCTCTGTATTCTTGGTGCTGGGGGGGGGGGCGTTCTGGAGTTCTGGCCCTGCTGGTAGAACCTGGGTTTTGGCTACTGTGTGACACAGAGTATTGGATTGGATGGGCCATTGGCCTGATCCAACATGGCTTCTCTTATGTTCTTATGTCTGGGGCAGTGATGCTCTGTATTCTTGGTGCTGGGGGGGGGGCAACAGTGGGAGGGCTTCTGGAGTTCTGGCCCCGCTGGTGGACCTCCTGGTGGCACCTGGTTTTTGGCCACTGTGTGACACAGAGTGTTGGACTGGATGGGCCATTGGCCTGATCCAACACTGGCTTCTCTTATGTTCTTATGTTTGGGGCAGTGGTGCTCTGTCTTCTTGGTGCTTGGGGGGCCACAGTGGAAGGGCTTCTGGAGTTCTGGCCCTGCTGGTGGACCTCCTGGTGGCACCTGGGTTTTGGCCACTGTGTGACACGGAGCGCTGGATTGGATAGACCACTGGCCCGATCCAACGTGGCTTCTCTTATGTCCTTAGATTCTGATGCCACGAAACATGGCAATGTTGCTTGCCAGGCTCCCGGCCCTCTGCCACAATTACCTGCAGGGCTTCACTCATGCCGCGGCCGATCACTAAGGTTTTCGCGCCCTTCTGAACGACTTCTTCAACGTCGGCCGGCTGCACGCCAGGGAAATGCTGCGTTCAAAAGAGTAAGACAGAAGTCAGCCACCGATGTGGATCCCAGCCCTGCGTTTTAGTCACGGCGGCAGGGGTGGGGGTGGGGAAGTCCTATGACATGACTTAAGCAAGCCCCTTTTCCAGTTTCAGAATGACAGAGCTTGAACGTATGCCATCACACACAAAAATATGGCATCGGCTGGGTGATTGTGTCACAGTGTTATATATACAAGGCTCGGTTTATGTGTGTGTGTGCCTTGTTTCTGAAACATAAAAGCTGGAGAACGTGGTACTGGCAGCAGAAATCGGCCTCCCAGGAAGCTCAGGTTCCATTTCCTTAAAAAAAGAAGAAGCAACAAGTAAATTTCTAGTGTTTTGAAGAATTGACAGATCAAGATGGGTAGCCGTGTTAGTCTGTCTGTAGCAGCAGAAAAGAGTAAGAGTCCAGGAGTACTTTAGAAAAAGAACAGATTGGATTTATACTCCGCCCTTCCCTCCCCAAAGGAGTCTCAGAGCGGCTTACAAACTCCTTTCCCTTCCCCTCCCCACAACAGACACCCTGTGAGGTAAAAGAAGAAGAGAGAAGAGATTGGATTTATACCCCGCCCTTCACTACCCAAAGGAGTCTCAGAGCGGCTTACAAACTCCTTTCCCTCCCCCTCCCCACAACAGACACCCTGTGAGGTAAAAGAAGAAGAGAGAAGAGATTGGATTTATACCCCGCCCTTCACTACCCAAAGGAGTCTCAGAGCGGCTTACAAACTCCTTTCCCTTCCCCTCCCCACAACAGACACCCTGTGAGGTAAAAGAAGAAGAGAGAAGAGATTGGATTTATACCCCGCCCTTCACTCCCCAAAGGAGTCTCAGAGCGGCTTACAAACTCCTTTCCCTTCCCCTCCCCACAACAGACACCCTGTGAGGTAAAAGAAGAAGAAGAAGAAGAAGAGATTGGATTTATACCCCGCCCTTCACTACCCAAAGGAGTCTTAGAGCGGCTTACAAACTCCTTTCCCTTCCCCTCCCCACAACAGACACCCTGTGAGGTAGGCAGGGCTGAGAGAGCTCTTGACAGAAACTGCTCTTTGACAGAAACTGCTCTTTTTCGAGAACAGCTCTTATCAGAACTATGGCTTGCCCAAGGTAATCCAGCCAGGTGCAAGTGGAGGAGTGGGGAATCAAACCCGGTTCTCCCAGATTAGGGTCCGCGCACTTAACCACGACACCAAACTGACAATATAGGTTAACTGCCTATATTGCAGAACTCTGCTTCTTGTTGCAGAATTTGGGTCATCCTGGTACAAAATTACTGACTCCACAGGGTCGCCAGCTTTGGGTTGGGAAACGTCTGGAGATTTTGGGAGTGTTGCCCAAGGAGGGCGGGGCTTGGGGAGGGAAGGAACTTCAATGGGGCATAACGGCACACCCGCCACCTTCCAAAGCGGCCCCTTTCTCCAGGGGAACGGATCCCTGTCCCTTGTAGATCAGCTGTCAATCCCAGGCGCTCTCCAGCCGCCCCCTGGAGGTTGCACTCCACCAATGTTCACTGTGAAAAATTGATCCAAGTCCAATTACAGTCCACAGATTTGCTTCTTCTTCTTTTTGTTTCTGTACTTCACATCATGCAGTGCTGCTGCCGCCACTTCCGACAATTGTCATGCGACTACAGGTTCCCCAGGTAAACAATCTGTTTCATGAGAGCCAGCAGATGCCAAGAAAATACAAGATTAATTCTGAGCAGCAGACGTAGAGCATGGGCTCCAAGTATAAAGCGACCTGAGGAAGCATCGAGGGAAACAGATTGTTTACCTGGGAAATCTGTAGTCGCATGCAGGGGTCATTTCCTGCAGGAGCGCACAGGAGCAGAGCTCCGGCAGTAAAGAGTCCAGGGGGTGGGCACATGCAACAAGCCCCGCCCCCTGCTCCTTCTCTCCCTCCTTCTTTTCCTCCTTTTCTTGATTTCTTTGTTTTCCTCCTTTTTTCTTTCTCTCCTCCTTTCCTTCTCTCCTTCCTTCTTTCCATGTCTCCCTCTCTCTGCACAGATCTGCGTGAGGGCAGATCAGCAATCCAAAACATTCCAGTGGCACCTTTAAGACCACGTTTTATGCAGGTACAAGCTCACCCTCCTATGCGAGGACGGATCTGCACGTTCCCCCCCCCCAATAGCTAGCAATCCAAAACAGTCCAGTGGAGCCTGAGCGGTGGGTGTTGCCTTCTGACACACTTTCGGTGATGTCAGGGGGTGTGGCATATGCAAATAAGTCATGCTAATGAGCTCCTTCACCTCTTTTTCTATGAAATCACCTCTGGTCGCATGACAATCGTTGGGAGCAGCAGCAGCAGCACTGCATGATGTAAAATAAAGAAACAAAAAGAAGCAGCAGAAAATTTGTGGTCTGTAATTGGACTTGATTCCTGCCAACCTAGCAGTTCAAAAGCAGGAAATTGCAAGTAGATAAATAGGTACCACTTTGGTGGGAAGGTAACAGCGTTCCGTGCGCCTTGGTGGTTAGTCATGCCGGCCACATGACCACGGAAATGTCTTCGGACAGCACTGGCTCTTCGGCTTGGAAATGGAGATGAGCACCGCAACCTTAGAGTCGGATTCGACTGGCTTTCAAGCAAGGGCACCTTTACCTTTAATTGGACTTGAATCAATTTTTCTCAGTGAACATTGGTGGAGTACAACCTTGGTTGAGTCACTGTGGTCCATTTGTGGCTGGAGCCTCCCGGATATCGGCAAGCCTAATTGTGGAGAATATACAGATAACCCTACACATAGACATTTGTGTTTCCGTGTGTGTGTGCACGCGCGCTTTTGCCTGGAAGTCATGGTGATTTCTGGTGACCCCCGGTGGGGCTTGGACGTTTCAGAGATGGGGCTTACTATTGCCTGCCTCTGTGTCAGGGCCCTGGTATTCCTGGGAGGTCTCCACGGCCAAGTTTATATTATGACACAGAAATCTTTTGGAATATTGTTTACTCCACTGAAAGGGCTTAGTATATTTATAAAATGTTTTATAGATGGCATATTACTCCAGATAAATTAGCAAAATTTTATCCTGACCTACCAAATGATTGCTGGAAGTGCCAAAAAATGTTGGTTCTTTCTTTCATATGCGGTGGACATGGGATAGAGATAAAAAATATTGGTCCTGGATTCATGAATGTTTACAAAAAACATTAAAATGAACTATACCTTATATACCAGAATTGTTTTTATTTAATGTATTACCAGGAAATTGTAAAAAGCAAGATTCTCATCTTATCATACATGTAGTGAGAGCTGCAAGAATATTATATGCCAAACACTGGAGGAAGAATGAAGTACCTTCAAAAGAAGAAATCTTAAATAAGATACCTGAAACTGCAGAGATGGACAAACTAACTTTAATTTTGAGAGGACAAAACGAACAAAAATTTGAGAACACATTGTCAAGGTTTCATAAATGGATGGAAGAATACAATAAATAAACCACACAGACATAACAGCCGAATCAGAAGAAAATATGAACGATGTCTTTAGTTATGAGCAAAGTTCTGTTCAAATTTACATGGTGGGGAAAAATAAAGTAGTAGTAGTTGTTTTTTGTTAGCTTCCAGGTATGGCCGGGAGATCTCCTGCTGTGGCAACTGAGCCCCCAGGCTACAGAGATCAGTTCCTCTGGAGAAAATGGCCACTTTGGAGGCTGGACTCTGTGGCGTTATACCCTGCCGAGGGCTCTCCCCTCCCCAGACCCTGTCCTACTCAGGTTTACCCCCTAAATCTCCAGGTATTTCCCAACCCAGAGCTGGGATCCCTACTCGTGAGAAAGGTGGGGAGGAAGTCATTTTGAATACATGTGGGAAAGTCCGCCTCAGTCTGCATAGCTTTCCCCTTCCGTGATCCCCCCCCCCTGCAACCCCGGGGCTTCACTCGGAATTTTTATGAGCTCGCAGGGAAACGTACAGTCCTTTAAACAAAACATCTAAAAAAATCAGGATTCTGAATGTCGACTCTGCAATGAAATACAAACAGCACAAATATTGCCCGTTGATGCCAAGGCCGGAATGGATGTTTTCTCGGCAGGGAATTCATCTTCCCCACACACAGCTCTGATATGAGGGTGCCGGTTTGCCACTGTGTGGATTTCTAATCCCCAGCCTCAGCCCCGGAAAGGAATGTTTCCTCCCTGGAGATTAGAAATTGGCTTCTCAAAGAGGAAGGCGGCTCCCTCGGAGGAACCCGATTTCATACCTCAACTGTGCTCCACGTTGGGAGCGCACGCTTGAAGAGCCGCAGAACCATAAGTTAGCGCTGCCCATGACAGACTGCGCACAGTAACGGCCCCCGAGAGTCCCTTTCCTGCTTTCGCTTGCAAACTGCATCCGATACACGATGTTCCCTCATACCAGTCATGGCAGCCTTTTCGTTTCGAGCCTCCCGCCATTTTGTCCTCTACCGGGCACAATCAAGGTGTGGGGAGATGATGGACTGGGAAGGGGAACAGCGGGGTGTTCTTCGCAGGTTGCAAGCGAGAGCCAGTTTGGTGTAGTGGTTAGGAGCGCGGACTCTGGTCTGGGAGAACTGGGTTTGAGTCCTCACTCCTCCACATGCAGCCAGCTGGGTGACCTTGGGTCAGTCACAAGTTCTCTCAGAGCTGTTCTCTCAAGAGCAGTCCTCAAAAGAGCTCTCTCAGCCCCACCGACCTCACAGGGTGTCTGTTGTGGGGAGGGGAAGAGAAAGGAGTTTGTAAGCCGCTCTGAGACTCCTTCGGGTAGTGAAGGGTGGGGTATAAATCCCATCTCTTCTTCTTCTTGTTTTACCTCACAGGGTGTCTGTTGTGGGGAGGGGAAGAGAAAGGAGTTTGTAAGCCGCTCTGAGACTCCTTCGGGTAGTGAAGGGTGGGGTATAAATCCCATCTCTTCTTCTTCTTGTTTTACCTCACAGGGTGTCTGTTGTGGGGAGGGGAAGAGAAAGGAGTTTGTAAGCCGCTCTGAGACTCCTTCGGGTAGTGAAGGGTGGGGTATAAATCCCATCTCTTCTTCTTCTTGTTTTACCTCACAGGGTGTCTGTTGTGGGGACGGGAAGGGAAAGGAGATTGTAAGCCGCTCTGAGACTTCGAGTGAAGGGTGAGGTATAAATCCAATCTCGTCTTCTCCTCTCTTCAGGGTCCTGGTCCCAATTCACCCATTGCTGCCCATTCAACAAAATGACCATACACAACAGTTGTGCCCCTGGAGTGACAGAGTTTACCGATCAGAAAGGTGAAGGAACTAGTTCAGGACATGAAAGGAGACCCCAAAAGGGAGGGGGGGGTTGGGGAGGGACTTCAGTAAGATCTACTGCCACAGAGTCCACCTTTCAAAGCAGCCCTTTTCTTCAGGGGAACTGATCTCTGTCGCCTGGAGATCCGTTGTAACAATGGGAGATCTCCAGTCACCACCTGAAGGTTGGCATCCCTATGTAACGGTTAGTGTCGGACTAGATCTAGGAATCCCCGCACATGCTCGCCCTGACCTACCTTGCAAGGTTGTCGCGAGGAGAAAACGGAGGAGTAGGAGAACAATGTAAACCGCTTTGGGTCCCCCAGTGGGGGGCAACACAGGATGCAAATGATGGAAATAAACAAATATAAAAGGTGCATGGCGGTCAGTTGTAGTATGATATTTCTTGTGTGTGTGTGCGTACGCGCTTGCATGCCTGGAAGTCATTGACTTCTGGCGATCCCTCGTGGGGCTGGGAGTCGTTTCAGAGAGGTGGCTTGATATTTTCCTGCCTCTGCAGCCCAGCCTTGGTATTCCTTGGAGGTCTCTCTTCCAAGTACTTTCCTGGGTCAGCCCTGCTTAGCTTCCGAGATCTACAAGCATGGACGGCTTCAAAAGGGAATTAGATAAGCATATGGAGCAGAGGTCCATCAGTGGCTATTAGCCACAAGGTATAGATAGGGGCTCTGGGGCAAGTGATGCTCTGTCATCTTGGTGCTTGGGGGGGGGGGTCGACAGTGGGAGGGCTTCTGGAGTTCTGGCCCCGCTGCTGGACCTCCTGATGGCACCTGGTATTTCTGGCCACTGTGTAACACAGAGTGTTGGACTGGATGGGCCTTTGGCCTGATCCAACATTGGCTTCTCTTATGTTCTTATGTCTGGGGCAAGTGATGCTCTGTATTCTTGGGGGTGGGGGGCAACAGTGGGAGGGCTTCTAGTGTCCTGGCCCCACTGCTGGACCTCCTGATGGCACCTGGTATTTCTGGCCACTGTGTGACACAGAGTGTTGGACTGGTTGGGCCACTGGCCTGATCCAACATTGGCATCTCTTATGTTCTTATGTTCTTAATATCGGGCTTGCCTGGGCTATCCAGGCCAGGGCGTTATCGTCTGATATTTCAAAAGCCAGCGTCGTGCGCTGGTTCGAATGCTGGACTCCGATCTCAGAGACCTGGTTTGAATCCCTGCTCTTCCTTGGAAGCTTGCTGGGTAACTTTGTTTGTTTATTTATATTTATTTATTTTTCACATTTATATCCCGCCCTCCCCAGTGGGCTCAGGGCGGCTAACAAGGGCAGGGTAATTAGCCGTGCCATAATTAAAAACATATAAAACATAATAAAAACATCCAACACTTGAAACAGTGGTGCTCAGTCAATTACTAGTCTCATACGTCCAGGATATGTCACTCACTCTCAGCCTCACCTGCCTTACAGGACTGTTGTGAGGAGGAAACGGGGGAACTATGAAAGCCACCCTAATCAGCATAGCAGAAGGGAGGGATAGAAGTGTAAGAGGTAAGTATCCGGGGAGCACAGTGGCTCCCAAAGAGTGAAGCAAGGGTGATGTAGACACCTACGTCTGTGCCTGTTTCTCTCCAATCCCACGTCCGGCTGCCTCCCGGCCACACTTTACAGTCCTTGTACGCCGTGGAACAGCCTTTCACCGTCATCCGGCCCCAAGAGAGGGAAGCGATTTCCGGGGAAGACATTGTCGGATGGAGGGGAAAAAATACCTGAAAGATTTTAAAAAATGCAGATCCACATGTTAAAAAGAAAAAAGTGGCAAGGAGTCAAGGGGCTGGCTTCAAAGTATCCCGAAGATACAGAGTGGAACAGCTGTGCAGTTTGAGGAGCGATGCTCCAACACCTGCCAGTTTGGTTCGTGTTCTACACACCAGTTGCAAGCCGGGAACCGAATTTTTGGTCAGGCAGTTCAGATGGTCATAAGCAGACGGAGCCTGTTCAGTTTACTGTCTGCAAATTCAGACAGCACAATACAAATCAACCAGCAGCATTACATCCATGCATGTTCTCACACAGTCTGAGGGGAATCTTAGTTTCCCTGTCGTTGCTCTACAGCTAGTGGTTCAAACGGTCAGTTATAGGGTTGCGAGACCCCCCCCCCATGGAGGTGGGGCCCCCCAGTCACCGATCAGATGGCCAGCAGGGGGACTTACCAGTAGAAACAGGAAAGCCCAGGCCACATGGCCGGCATCACACAGGAAGTGACGTCATCACACCAGTGACTTCTGGGAGGTGCTCTGGCATTTGGGCCAAAACTCAATGATAGAAGCTGTCCAAATACTAGAGCGTCACCCAGAAATCGCTGATGTGAACACACATGAAGCTGCCTTATACTGAATCAGACCCTAGGCCCATCAAGGTCAGTATTGTCTACTCCAGGGGTGGCCAAACTTGCTTAACAGAAGAGCCACATAGAATAAACATCAGATGTTTGAGAGCCGCAAGACATGAACAGATATTGTTGTTGTTGTTCAGTCGCACAGTCGAGTCCGACTCTTCGCGACCCCATGGACCAGATCCCGCCAGGCCTTCCTGTCTTCCGCCGTCCTCTGAAGTTGGCTCAACTTCATGTTCGTTGCATCGATGACACTGTCTAACCATCTCATCCTTTGCCGTCCCCGTCTTCTTTGACCTTCAGTCTTTCCCAGCATCAGGGTCTTCTCCAGTGAGGGCTCCCTTCTCATTGAGTGGCCAAAGTATTTGAGCTTCAGTTTCATTATCTGGCCTTCCAGGGAACAGTCAGGGTTGATTTCTTTTAGGATTGACTGATTTGATCTCCTTGCAGTCCAAGGGACTCTCAAGAGTCTTCTCCAGCACCATAGTTCAAAAGAATCTATTCTTCGGTGCTCGGAACATATCGAACATATATTACACACAGGGTTTTATTGGGAAAATATGCAGATTTGCTTTGCTTTTTATGCAGATATGCAGATTTGCTTTTTATTAATATTAAATGAGACTGCCAAAAATAATAACAAAAGGGGGGAAGGCAGATATTGATAATGATATTTATTTGTCCAATGATATTTGTTTGCTAATGATATTTAGCGGGAGACGCACAATATGTGTGAAAGAGCCACGTGCGGCTCCCGAGCCAGCAGCACCTCTTCAGAGTCTCAGGTGGGTTTTTTTCACGTCACCTCCAGCCCGGTCCTTTCTAACTGGAGATGCCGGGGATTGAACCTGGGACCTTCTGCATGCCAAGCAGATGCTCTGCCACTGAGCCACAGCCCTTCTCCATGGCTCTCCAGGGTCTCAGGCAGAGGTCTTTCACATCCCCTCCTGCCTGGTCCTTTGAACTGGAGATGCCGGGGATTGAACCTGGGACCTTCTGCATGCCAGGCAGAGACTCTAACACTGAGCCACGACCCCTTCTCGATGATGTCACTTCCCGTGTGACACCAGCAACCTGGCCTGGGGCCATCTCTTTCTCCTGGTAAATACCCCCCCTACCCCGCCACCCCGGGCCACTTGCCAGGAGAAACCTGGTAACCCTAGTCAGTTACACATTAACTAACACTGGGCTTTCTGCAAAGTTTATTTCACAGTCAGCTAGGTCTGTGTTACTGCTGTTCTCTCAGACATGCTGCGGTGGCTCAGAGGTTAAGGTGCTGAGCTGCAGACCGGAAGGTATGTAGCTTGGCAGTTCAAGACCCGAGTGCCGCGTGATGGAGTGAGCTCCCGTCTCCGGCCCCAGCGCCTGCCAACCTAGCAGTCGGAAAGCAAGAAATTGCAAGTAGATAAATAGGTACGACTTCGGTGGGAAGGTAACAGCATTCTGTGCGCCTTGGCGTTTAGTCATGCCGGCCACATGACCACAGAAATGTATTCGGACAGCGCTGACTCTTTGGCTTGGAAACAGATGAGCACCGGCCCCTAGAGTCAGATTTGACCGGCTTGCGAGCAAAGGAAACCTTTACGTTTTATCACACATGCATTTCCCCCCCCACTGCCTTATGTAGCCCCCCCACACCCCAGCCTTTCAGCATCATTGGATTCAAACATTTAGAAACCTGGGGCGGGGAAGAACTGATTTCAACTACCATGCATAGGGTTGTCAGCATCCAGCTGGTGCAACAAACAACGGCAATACAGTATGTGTAGTATACTCAATCTGAAAAAACACTGTAATGAAGGAATACACACAAGGATTCTATTTGAAATTACAAAAAAAAAACCCTCTTATTACTGAAGCTGAAGCTCAAATACTTTGGCCACCAAATGAGAAGGGAGCCCTCACTGGAGAAGACCCTGATGCTGGGAAAAACTGAAAGTCAAAGAAGAAGGGGACGGCAAAGGATGAGATGGTTAGACAGCGTCATTGAGGCAACGAACATGAAGTTGAGCAAACTTCAGAGGACGGCGGAAGACCGAAAGGCCTGGCGTGATCTGGTCCATGGGGTCGCGAAGAGTTGGACTTGACTGTGTGACTGAACACCAACAATTAGCCATTCTTTAAAGATACAGTGCAGGAACAAGTTGAAAATGTGTGAGCCAGGGGCTAAAAAACTATGAGCTAGCTCACACTAACTCAGCTTAGAAGGAACGCTGCCCTGGGCTAGGAGTAAAATATTCCAGTATAGGAAGAATAACTAGCACAAGAGATTGGCACAAGAGATTGGATTTATACTCCCGCCTTTCACTCCCTGAAGGAGTCTCAGAGCGGCTTACAAACTCCTTTCCCTTCTCCTCCCCACAACAGACACCCCGTGAGCAGTGTTCCCTCTAAGCTGAGTTAGTGTGAGCTAGCTCACAGTTTTTTAGCCTCTGGCTCACACATTTTTGTCTTAGCTCAGGAAGGATGGCTCCAGAACAAACTAATTTATGCAGCAGCCAAATCTCCTGCTCACAACTGTAATGCCAATAGCTCACAAAGTAGAATTTTTGCTCACAGGGCTCCACAGCTTAGAGGGAACATTGCCCGTGAGGTAGGTGGGGCTGAGGCAGCTCTTTTGGGGACTGCCCTTGAGAGAACAGCTCTGAGAGAACTTGTGACTGACTCAAGGTCACTCCTGCAGCTGCATGTGGTGGAGTGGGGAATCAAACCCGGTTCTCCCAAATTAGAGTCCGCGCTCCTAACCACTACACCATACTGGGTCTCTAGACTCCTAGGACTTCTTAAGTGCATGCCTATACCTCAATCAGGCCTGACTAGAGTCATCCAGGACACAGAGATGTGGCCAGAAATACAGAACAGTTCAGTGTTCCCTCTAAGCTGTGGAGTCTTGTGAACAAAAATTCTACTTTGTGAGCTACCAGTAGTAAAGCTGTGAGCGACCGATTAGGCTACTGCATCGATGAGTTTGCTCTGGAGCCGTCCTTCCTGAGCGAAGACAAAAATGAATAAGCCAGAGGCTAAAAAACTGTGAGCTGGCTCACACTCACTCAGCTTAGAGAGAACACCGCTAGTTCCTGAACTTGACCTGGACAGATCATGGCGAATGTTTCTGCACGTTTTTTTTAAACATCTGGTAGCATAGATTTGCGTAAGTTGAATGTAATGCTATATATGGTGGACAGTATAGTAACCTATACCAGAATTTGTACAGGATGGAGTGACATACATTCAACTCACGCAAATCTATGCTACCAGAAGTATTGGTGGACTTTAATTGGCTATACCTGAGGCCTATCATATACAACAATAATATACATATAAATATATAAGGATACAACATCTGGCCTTCTATTGCATATGTACTTAACATCTGATGTTAAAAAAAACTTTTTTTGAATGTATGTCAAGTTTGTATTTTGGATTGTGACCACTGAGGAAGGCCCTTTGGGGCCGAAACGCGTTTGGTTCAGTTGCACAGCACTAACCCATCTATGTATGTATCTTGGAAAATTTTTCATGTCTGAATGTGAATATTTTTAATGAGTCTAAGTTTTTTTAAAAATATGTACACCTGAATAAATTTTGTATGTTTATAATATTTAGTGTCAGCTTAACCCTTGTGGATTCATAGCAGCTTTTTGGGTTGAGTTCCCCCCCCCCTTTTGAATGTTTCTGCACACCAGAAACAGGGTTTGCTAAACCTGCCTAAAAGGAGGCGTAGGGACCCAGAAGAGAAGAAGCCTTGGAGAAGGGCAAGAAACAGTAGAGTAACATAATCACATGGCCGTTCGTAGATTTAGAACCTTCTAACCTGGGATCCCAGACCTTTTTGGGCCTGCGGGCGCCTTTGGAATTCTAACACAGCAGTGCAGGCACGGGCACAAAATGGCTGCCACAGGAGGCAGAAGCCAGTCACAACACGGTAGCGGCAGCTTACCTTCAGTCACGCAACGAAGATCATTGTGGTTTGGCAGCTACCGCCAAAGCAACATTTTTCAAAATCTGCACACCCAATCAAATTGCCAATGGCCCATTGGTGCATGTTTGGTGCAGTGGATAAGCGCGCGGACTCTAATCTGGAAGAACCGGGTTTGATTCCCCACTCCTCCACATGTAGCTGCTGGTGTGACCTTGGCTCAGTCACAAGTTCTCTCAGAGCTGTTCTCTCAAGGGCAGTCCTCGAAAGAGCTCTCTCAACCTCACCTACCTCACAGGGTGTCTGTTGTGGGGAGGGGAAGGGAAAGGAGATTGTAAGCCGCTCTGAGACTCCTTTCGGTAATGAAGGGTGGGGTAAAAATCCAATCTCCTCCTCCTCCTCTTCTTCCTCTTCTTCTATCAAAAGCCTTGCTGGTAAAAGCTCTACCTGGCCCT